AGTGTTGCAAGGTCTGGTTAAAACACAAAAGGAACGTGAGAAGCTTTGGAGAAAGAGACTTGCTCAATAAAAGAGCAACCATTGTAGTTGCAGTGCTGCTGTTTGGACAGTTCAAAAGACTTTGCACCTTTGATAATGATGTCTAAGATAGCAGGACAGGAGAAAGCAGGTGGTTAATTCTGTCATGAGTAGCTGCAAAATGACAAAGGCACAGGCACTCAGAAGACTGGAGAGGTGGTACAGATGCTTGGGAGAGGAATCTGTCTCATCTGATAAGGACGTCCAGTATTTTACTCGCAGTGATGAGATCCAGATGTTTGAGTTGGAGAGACTTCCTGGATGTCTTGATTGATCAGGTACCCCAGCTGGCCTGAGAAACAGGGCGAATAATCAGCTGTGCTGTTAGTTTTGTGGAAGGAGGAAAACAAAATAGTTGTAACCAGTGTCTGGCAAAATATTTGATAGAAATTGATAAACTTTGGGAAGGGAGGTCGAATTTTAAAAAACTTCTGAACCAGCTATTTGAGGTTAAAAATACATTGCTGGAAGAAACTGACATTGTCAGTAAAAATCACTTCCTAACTTTTTATTGCTTTCTTAGAGATTTTCTGAAAAGCTCAGAAGCTTCAAGTTATGTCTTGCAGTTGCATCAAACCATTTTAGTGGGAAAAATGTCCCCTTAGCTGTTGTCTCACTATGACAGTGATGGGAAGGATGTCTGTTTTTTCCCCATTTTGACACACTGAGCACAGGTTTTGCCAGCCTGCAGCATGCTTAGAGTTGCTGTGTGTTTCCCATGCTGAGTTGTTGTGTGTTTTCCATTTTATTTCCCCACAGAGTACTCTGTGGCACAGTGATGAGAATAGGTGTGTGCCTAGTACCTGAGCATCACTGTGTGTGTACTGTGCAGGTCACCCCAGCTGTGGTGGATGTTGTCAGGAACATATCACAAAGAGCAGAGAATAGGATAAATTGAAGAGGCTGTGGACAAGTGGGGGAGATTTTCAGGATTGTTATTTAATTGGCATGGTGTTTCCCATGTATCAGAAGGTGTATATATAGGAATAGAGGAAGCCACCATTTATCTTAGTGCCTGTGGAGAGACTAAACTGCTTTGCAGTGATTGCTGCAACAGGAATCAGCTTGTCTTTGTGGTAGTTCCTCAGCTTTGCTACGTGAGCATGAAAGGGTGTGATAAAAGTATGTTTTTACAGTAATTGGTCAGGATCCAAGGGGTTAATAATGCTGACAGATTGAAAAATCACACTAGTTACCTGGTAACCCCTCTGAATTTTGAAGTATCTCTGTAGTCTTACTTGACAGTTTATTAATAAAAGAAAAAAAGTAGCTGAAAAAGCAGTGTGGTGATCAAAATGTGAGCCAGTTTATGATTTTTTCCAATTGCCTATTCTTTGTGTATCTACTATTCCAAATAAAAATGCTTGTAATGTATTGTATTTGATTATTAATCCCTGTAGTGTTTCATTCGGAGGGATTAGATTGAAAAGATCCACATGGTATATTTGACCAGTGATTGTGGGATATGGAAACTGAAAAAGATGAAGCCCTGACAGTTTAATGGCTCATGTAGGAACACTCTTATGAGCATACTAAGGAGGAGAGGGAGTTCAGGCTGGGTGGGTGCAGCTTCTCCTAAAATTTCAGCCACTACCAATATTCAGGGCAGTATTATTTATATCCTTTTATATGGTTGCTTTGTACTATGGTATGACATTGTTTCTGCCTGTTCTCCCTCTGACAAAAACCAGCCCGAGTGTTAGAGGAGATTGTTTGTAGAGTCTGCCTCAGAGCTTGAGGAATTGAAGGGATCTCAAGTCTGACACTTTGCTCTGGTCTCCAGTCTGGAGACACACAGACACCCAGTGCCTTCCCAGCCCCGTGTCCCAGGACTGTCTGTGTGTGCCCACCAGCTCTGTGGAGTAAAGCAGGGTTTCCTCTTTAGACCAGCCAGTTCTGACACATGTTTTCCTGACTCTTCCAGTAAAGCTGCTGTTAATCCATTGGTCTGTTGGTCAGTAGATAATGCAGTTGGTTCTTGTGTTGAAGTCAGAGGTTCATTTGGCTCTGTATTTGCAGCTTAAGGGGGAAATGTTATAATTTGAAAGTGACACAGGAAAACATTGAGCTCAAGATGTGTTTATCACCTAGGGAGCTGTGCACTACAGGGTAGCAGTACAAGAGTGGCAGAAGTAAATTTACAGATTTATTCACAAGGATGTAATTTCAAAATATAAACAGGTTAATTAATGTAGGTGATATGCCAAGTAACTGGAATGAAAAGTCTGTGCATGGTGCAGCCCTTGCCCCAGTAAACGAGGTCTGAGTCTTGCCCACATCTGTAATGCACATCTGAAGCATTCTATTCTGTTGATATCCATGAAATTGCACTAAGAAAATAGAAGCTTAAATATGGTCTCAAAGTTGTGTACAGTGATCTGAATGAATATTTAAGCCCCTTTCGATACGGACTCAGAAGTCAATCCTCTGTCTTGTCTGATAGAAGAATTTTTTGACAACTGAAAGTGTAATTGCTTGAATGGCCTCATTTTTTTGACCTCTGTAGTTACTAGATTCAAGTCTTTGGAGTAAGAAATAAGCTGTCAGTACACTTGCTTAACTCTTTTTTTAAAAGGCCAGACAACATCTGGTACCATCTTTAAAGAAATTGTGGGATTTTCCTAAAAGCATTAAGATAGTACAAAATGTGTGCTCTGTCACAGGCAGAAAATTAGATGTGAAAATTCTGCCATTTAGTCCAGCTCTCCATGGAAGACACGATTGGATTTGGATAACTTCTGTCTCGTGGCCTGTATCTTCTTTCAGAAATAAGATTTATGGGGATGTTTTGCACCAGGACTTGGAGAAATACTGGGTTAAGGGAGAGCATGGTACAATGCCTCCTGACCCAGATAGTTGTACAGATTTGTGCCAAAACAACTGCATGTACCCACTGTAAGCTTTATCAAGCTTCACTAATTAAGATTTTCAGCACCCAGATTTAGATAACTATCAACAGTGACTGCAAACTGCCTTTACCCCTGATGGCAGCGAGAGCTGGTGACCAAACCCTCAAAGAGAAACCATTTTTGCAAATTACTTTAGCCTGGTTTGTGTTGTGGCTTTTTAAAACTTGATTTAATAAACAAGTTTGAGAGTTAGTCTTAAATATTTTGTGATTTTTTTTTCCCTCATGACTTTATCCATGTAGTTTAGGGTATAGCCTGCACTGTACTCTGCAGGCACCTGTATGCATGTTTCAGTTAGTGGGAACACAGATTTTACCAGAGAGTCTCAGTTTTATTTTCAGTCTGACATGTCTGCCTCTTTGCTTTGCAGAGAAATGGAATGCACGAATTACAGACTTGAGAAAGCAAGTTGAAGAACTGTTTGAGAAAAAGTATGGTATGTATTGATGCCTTTCCAGACTGTTACCTCTAGTCCTTTATCACTGTAAGTGACAGCTCTTTGGCATGCATCTGGTTGACTCAGGAGCACACCAGAATTGACAGTACCAAAGGGTTAAATACTGTTGGAAGACGTAAAACTGGGGAAAGTAGCTTTTTTGATTGGTAGAATAATTTCAAAATGCCATGTCTTGTGTTTGGCACTGAAGTGTGAAACTTGGTTTTATTTTTCAGCACTCACAGCCAGCCTTTGTTCTGTAGTTGCACTGAGGCCTTAAGTGAAACAGTCTCTATAGAATGGCTCAAGGGAGAGGTTGCCACTCATTGATTGTTCCTTTCTGATTATGATTGATTTGCACTGAAGCAACAATTGTATGTTAATGGCTCTTTGAAGTCAAAAGCAGCAGATGTATTGGACTTTGGAATTTGGCTTCGGATGCTGCTCCTAGGTATATTTTGTGTCCACATATCACAGACTAAAATAGCATCAGTGAATATTTCAAAATAAGTGGTGGTGCTCCTCTGCTGCAAAAAGTGGAAGTGCTTTCAGAATGGACCTTGTGATTTGGAGGTATTACATGTTTGGGATGTGACTATCATCTGACATTTTAAACAGCCCACTGAGAGAAACTCCCACCAGCTTAAAACAGTTCAGAATCTGACTCACTGTACTTTTAATTGCATCATTCTTAGTGAATTGCCTTAGTTTTGTTTTTGGTGTTTGCTCATAGCCAGTCTAAAATCTCCTGTGGAGAATAGTGAGCTATTCCTGACTTCACATAGCAAGCCACATGGTATTAAAGTATTCCCTTTTCCTTGGGCATGACAACATTTCATTGATTCACAAACCAATTCCTTATCAGACTCCAGTTCCTTCTATCTGTATGGGCATGCAGTCTCCCATTTGCTGAAATGAGTTATGGATGCCCAGAATTCCCTGAATGTTCCTCAGATTTGTTGGCTTCTGTAGCTCCAGAGCTTTTTAGCCATGTCACTCACTGTCATCCATTACAACTGATGTGTCTACAAATATATTTAGTTTTGTGCTTAGATGTAAACTAAATGGGATTACGTTTAGGGACTCATATACAAACTAATTTATAAGAATGAAGCCTATATTCAGTGATACTTCTATGCAAAAATACGTAAGGTTTCAAATCTAAGAAGCCTCACTGCAGACTGCAGTGCTGATGGTGTTCTTAGGCTGTCTGAAGAGTATTGGCTAAACTCTTTTGCTGATTTAAGAGAAATAAAGACTCTCACTTGTAAAAACTTAGCTGTCGTTAGTTTCTTATTTAAACAGATAGAATTTTTGTCACTCTGTAGCTGTTCTTACTTGATGCTGGGTAGTGATCTGGATTGTAGTGGTGTTCTTGATCTGTTACCCTGAGGCTCATCTGGTGGATTTGTCACTTTTCACCACTTGACACAAAACCTCCAGGGCTGAGAATAATTTTTTTTTTTTCTTGGAAGAGGTATAGGACTGCAATAAAAATATATGTTAAGGAAGGACCAGTGTGATACCAAACAGCTCTTTTGGTGATTGTTCTGGAGCTCCTTTGGCACAAGTTTGAATAGGGTTCCTATTTGCAAAGTCATCTTCAAGTTCATGTCCATCTCTGTATGAGTCTATCATCTGTCTCCAATTTTAGCCATCTTATATTTGCCAGTTGAAAGCAAGTCTACTTGAAACACTGTTGTAGTTTTCTGAAGTTTTGACACTTGGTTCTGATCAGAATAGAAGACAAAGATACATACAGTGTTTTCAAAGCTTCCCTACTTTGTGGTAAACATCCCTAGAAATATTATGCTTACCAGGGGTTGAAAGAGTCTGTTACCCAAATACCTTTAAAACCTAAATGTTTTGATGCCTTTAAGCATTGTTAATCACTTTGCATGGATTGTCTGAACCACAGGCTTCGACCTTACATGAAGTTGCTTGCAAAGGTGCCCTGAGTAGTTTTGCTTTCAGAAACGCTGCCACAACATCCTTGTACTCTAATTTGGCCTTAGCTTGGCTTTTCACTCCTCAGACAGTGTTTTTGCATCTAATTTCCATAGCAAAACAACAGAATGTACCAAACTATTTTCAGACCAGTCAGGTGGTAATAGAGAGTTCTTGTTGCATGACCTACAAAATTAACATACCCTTGTGAGAAAGAATCAGCCCTCTTGGTACTGAAAGCTCTTGTGTTATTCTGCAGTATTTGCCAGCCTGACAGGTGGATTGATATGATTATGGTCCTCATAACTTCAAGAAGTACATTGAGGTTATTGTCTAGCTGTGGTTGGGTCGGTTATTTGCTTTGGGTAGTACCATGCTTTTTTCAACAGTGTTAGAAGTGTATTGTTTATTTCATTAGCAATTCCTTGAATTTCTAAAATACACCAAAGCTTCAGGAGTTCACTGAATAGAAGGGGTATGTGCCCCTTCTCTGATGCATTAATGACTCTTGTAACCCAATAGTAGTAACAAATAATAGTAGACAGCACTAGTGAACTGAAACATGCTTGGTTTATAATTAAGTGTAGATAACTTCATCCTTTAAAATGTTCTATTAGACACAACCAAACCAGTGTGAACCTTCACTGTAACAGGTGCAGTCTCTGTTACCAAATGTTTACAGAGTAAAGGAAAAAGAGGAGGAACTGTGTATGTATGTAGGGCTGTAACTTGTTTACTGTGAATCCTATTTTGCTATCAAACCAGAATAATCCCTCAGAGTATGAATACTTGCATGACTCAATGTGCATCAGAGTGATATCAAACAGTTCATTTGAGGTAGTCTCATGTTTTTATTCTCCTTTTTTTCTTAAAGCTCAGGCTATAAAAGCAAAAGGTCCGGTGTCTATACCATATCCACTCTTCCAGTCACACGTGGAAGACTTATATGTGGAAGGGCTGCCAGAAGGGATTCCCTTCAGACGTCCATCCACATATGGCATTCCCCGTCTGGAGAGGATACTTCTGGCAAAGGAGCGGATCCGGTTTGTGATTAAAAAGTAAGGAATTTTGCATTTGTGTCTCTACATTACTTATTGTTTTCCACTGGCTCCACTCTGCTTCATTTTATCTTCCCGAAATTCCAAACTGGTTTCCACTGACATACGCATTTGCAGTACTCAGGAGTAATTTTTAGTTGGTGTTCACTCTGATAAATTCAGCTTTTCAGAGCAGCAGAACACTGCAGTGGTGGCTGCAGTCTGGGCAGATCCCTTCAGTATTATGGACTCCTTGTCATGGCCAGATCTCTTTGTCCTGTTCAACTCTCTGCAGCTGCTGTACATGTGGAAAGCCATTGACTTTGGGATATTTTATGCTATCTGAGGCTTCCGGCCTAAATTGCAGCTTGTGCTTCTATTATTTTTCTTTCTAGAATGCTGTATCAAGGTGTCTATGGCTATATCTGTATAGAGCATCTCCCAGGGCAGGCTTGAGGCCAAGATCTAGCTCCCAGTTCCTATGCTTTAGTCGGGTGTGTGTCCTTGGTGTGTGGATCTACCTTGGAGGTCGATCAGGTGGTGTGTGTGGAGGAGACCTCAGGTCTATATAGAGACTGCTTGAAGCTTAAGTGAAGATCTGATGAGGAGCAGCTGACGTTTGCCTGAGGTTCAGTGGTATAGGGCCTAATCCAAGAGTTTTCAGAGTGGATGGGAGTATGCTGATTGCATTGGTCAGGCTCAGAACTGGGGGTGGTGGCAGTCCCTGCGCCCATGCGTGCTACCTTCACCACGGGTGCTAGTTGCTCATATTGCAGAGCTACATGGTCAGTTTCTGTCATCCTGATGCTTGCAGATAACTAGAAGAGAGTTATCAGTGTAGATCTACCTTTTGTCTTACTTAAAATCAGACACTATACATAGATTTTAATATTTATGCAATGCTGGTGCCTGTTCTTGTCAAATTTGTTTGTAGTTGTTAGCAGAAATTAATTTATGCTGTTCATCAGCCTTGTAGTGTGTGGTAACCAGAGCAGCTCAAAAACCAGTTTGCCTCTGAGAAGCATCGGAGTGTTTAACTTTTTGGTTGTTCAAATGTGAACAAAACTAGATGTACTTGGGAAACAGAAATGTCTGCCTTGAAGTCTTCCTTTTTAGAGGTTGAATTTTTGATTTGGATCTTTGTTTCTGATGAAGTGTGTCTCAGACCTCAGAGATAAGTTTAACAGAGTCGGTATGTTACCTTTAAATGTTATAGCTCAGGTGGATATGGGTATCAGGCCTGAAAAATGTTTTGTCAGCCAACCAACTCTTATGATATTTTGGTGTTAATTGGAATTTAATGCTGCAGATCATGATGTCCCCTGGAGGTTTTTTTGTTTGGTTGTTTTTTTTTCCTGATCCTTCAGTAGTAACTCGAGGTGGTAACTGAAGGCTGGTTTCACAAAGTGTCTGTCACTGTTGAAGCATGTATCTTGAATTTTTTAGACATGAACTTCTGAATTCAGCAGAAGATGTTCCATTGGACAAACCGGTTGCAGGAGGTAGGTCTTCAAATGTGTGAGTTGTACCAAGTACACTATGATATTCCTATTTGTCATTCTTAGCAGTGGTTACCATTTGCTTTTACTAATAACACATTGCATGCAATTCCTCTGGTCTTGAATTTTCTTTAGCTGCAGAGGGACAGTAATTTTCCGCTGATTATCCAAGCCAGTGTTGTTAGCACTCTGTCCATGAATTTGATTCAGCTGAGCAGAAAGAAGAACAATGAGCTAGAAAAGGCAGCAGTTTTCACAGTTAATAGAGTTTACTGGGTAGGGCAGTGTCTGTACCGTGGCAGGGTTGTGTATTGTTTTGGCTCAGGAATGGCTGGAGAAGTGTGAGTTGGTGCCTGCACTGATAGCCCAACTTGGCACGCTGTGGTTATGGAACACAAGATGTTGGTGTTGCATTCTGACTGAACCCACACTGTGGCAGCTGGACAGGGTCTGGTTTGAGACTGATGAGCTTCACGTATTGGTCATAAAGACATATTCAGAAGGAAAAATTGCTTTGTATTATATGTACTTTAATCACTTGAGAACAGGTTTTCATCCCATAGGCGTGCCTAATTCTGCACTGAATAGCAAGGTAATTCTGCAGAAAATGAAGCTGGCAAAAAATAAGCCCATCTTCAAATGGGATCTTCAGATTGGAGGTGGATGATGAAAGCATTGCAGTTCAGGTCAATACACTGAGTGTATTTTGTAGCAAGAGTGATGTCAGTGGTTCAGTGGATTCTTGTTCAGTTCTAACATTCTGTCATTCTTTTATGCTTATTTTTTCTAGTTCCAAGTTGAATCCATGCTGCTTCTGCGTAGCATTTTCTGTATTACCTGAAAATGCAGGATGGTTATGTGTGCTATAAACTGAACAACTGATAATATAACCAAAATAATTGAGGAATGTTCTGTGTCACTCTCAAATACAGTGAAGGAGGAGTGGTATGCCAGAATCACCAAACTGAGAAAGATGGTAGATCAACTCTTCTGCAAAAAGTTTGGTGAGTATAGTATTATTATTTTTTTTATAGCTTTGTATTTCTTGAAGATTGCTTTCATTCCTTCCTTTGAACATCTACTGAATGAAACCTTTGATCGGTCTGGGTTTTTTCCAAGCATTTCAAATCCTGGCAGTTGAGTGTAAAAGAATGTTTTACTTTACTATTTATACAAGGTAGATTCATAGTTTAAAAAAAAATTCTAAGTCTCATATGTACAGCTCTTTTGACTGCTCTCAGTTTCTTTCTGTTTGGTGTTTTTTTCCTTTGATGGTGAGTAAAACAGCCATTTACTTATTTATATACATTGCAGTATCATTAAAATTAGTGTTAGAACATTTCTGTGAATATTTGTTTTCTCCAATATGAAAAAACAGTCAGCTTCATATGAGCTAGAACAACATAGAATCATAGAATCAACTGAGTTGGAAAAGACCTTCAAGGTCATCGAGTTCACCCTACTGTTATTACTAGCCCATGGCACTAAGTGCCACATCCAGTCTCATCTTGAAAACCTCCAGGGATGGTGAATCCACCACCTCCCTGGGCAGCACATTCCAATGCCTGAGCACTCTCTCTGGAAAAAATCTCTTCCTAATATCCAACCTAACCCTCCCCTGGCAGAGCTTGAGTCTGTGCCCTCTTGTCCTGCTGCTGTTGCCTGGGAGCAGAGACCAACCCCCACCTGACTCCAACCTCCTGCCAGGGAGTTGCAGAGGGTGAGAAGATCTCCCCTGAGTTTCCTCTTCTCCAGGCTAAACAACCTCAGCTCCCTCAGCCTCTCCTCATGGCACTTGTGCTCCAGTCACTTCACCAGCCTCATTGCTCTTCTCTGGACCTGCTCCAGCACCTCAATATCCTCCTGAACTGAGGGGCCCAGAACTGAGCACAGGATTCAAGGTGTGGCCTCAGCAGCGTCAAGTACAGGGGCAGAATCACCTCCTTGTATCACATGTTGCAGGATAGTCTGTAAGAGACTAAAAACTGTACTGTGCCCCAGTGAGAGCTGTCTGGTATTGTGACTGCCCAGCAGCAACATCATACAATAGGGCAAATTTTTACATTTTTGATATGCTGAGACTTGGATTCTGTTGGGGTTAGATATCCTGCATTGTCCCAGGTTCTAAGATCACAATTGCAACAGCCTGAAGAACTGGTAGCTTTTAATAAAGGTGTATTGGCCAGTCTCTCAGTTACTGAGTGTATTCTGTTCTAACAGCCGAGGCCTTGGGGAGTAGTGAGCCTAAAGCTGTTCCATACCAGAAATTTGAAGCTCATCCAACTGACCTCTATGTTGAAGGGCTGCCAGAGAACATCCCCTTTAGGAGTCCCTCCTGGTATGGAATCCCTCGCCTTGAAAAAATAATTCAAGTGGGCAACAGAATAAAATTTATCATCAAAAGGTAAGTCTTTGTTTAATCCCTAAACATGGAGGGTTTTTTAAGAGAGAGGCCAAGCAAACACCTGTTGTGTAATCAAGCACTTGATTTCATTAAGTTGTGAAACATTTGATCTGTGGTTACCAAATAGGCAAATTAAGTATTCTGCATTATACAGTGAGTATTTGCAATCCAGACAAGTCTTCCAAAATATCCTTGTAGCATGTTTACAGGTGTGAAAAAATATAATGGAACAATTCAAACTCTTCAATTCATGTCATAATAGATAGTGGTATTGAATTTATGTCAAGAATAAGCAGATTATTTGTGTCTCGGTTGCAGGCCAGAGCTGCTAACTTTCACTTCAACTGAAGTTTTTCAGCCCAGTATGAACACCCCAGGTAAGAGCGGCACTGTGAGGGTGTGGTGGGGAACAATGCAACATTTTTCAAGAAGTGACCCTTGAGTAATGAGTGTGCTGGCATGGTCTTCATGAGGGCTGAAAGGAATAAATTGATCGCTATGAGCAAGGATGGCTTTCCGGTTTGTGGAATCAGAGAATCAGCCAAGTTGGAAGAGACCTAAAAGTTTATCAGGTCCAACCCGACCGTGGTTACTAGATCATGGCACTAAGTGCCACATCCAGTCTCATCTTGAAAACCTCCAGGGATGGTGAATCCACCATCTCCCTGGGCAGCACATTCCAATGTCCGACTACTCTTTCCATAAAAAATCTCTTCCTAATATCCAACCTAAATCTCCCCTGGCAGAGCTTGAGTCTGTGCCCTCTTGTCCTAATCATGGAGCAGTCCAGCTGCCTTTGAATAACTAGGCTGGCTCACCTTCACAGCCCCAGGAGCTGGAGTTACTGTCCTGGCCTGAATCAAAGCTCTGGGGCCCCTTGGTGTTTCACAGCTGACCCAGGGCTCTTTTCAGGCCTTTCTCGGTAATGAATTGTAGGCACTTCTTGAAAACCTTTAACACATGAGAAGACACATGAGAAGAACACATTGGAGTTTATTTCCAAATGCCCCGAATTGGAGTGTGTTGGCACTTTCTTGCAATCCAGGTCTCACTGGGCTTTTTGGGGTTGTACTGCTAAGACAAACCAAGATCCAAGGCTTCCTATGTTTTTCCACACACACGGCTCACTGCAGGAAAAAAAAGAAAGAATATGTTTTAATAGTCACGTAAGCAGTAGTAGTCTTACATTATCACAACGTATTGTGGATTTTTTGGGATTTTAGGAAAATATTCATTCTCTGAAGGGGAGTAGCTCAGCAGAAAAGGCTATGTTCAGTGTGGAGCAGAGGAAAAGGTAGCACTGGGTTCAGGTTTTTCTTCTTTGTATGTTTTGTTGCCAAAACCTCAGTTGTTACGACGTTCGAACAATTTGGCCATGAAATAATAACAGCAGGTGCCAATGACAGCGGTAAAAAATGTAGCTAATAAAATCCTCTCTCTGGAAGAATAGGCAAGTAGTGATGATGATTCTTAAACCTCAGAGCTTCTTTAACCTTCAGAATAGCATTTCTCTTTTGTCCTAGTTGTTTTGCTGTATTTCTCAGTAACTTACAGGTGAGTCTGGAATACCAGTGCCCACAAAGCTTACAGGGTCCAGGATTTGATGTCAGACAGGCACATGTTCTCCTGGGCCAAGGATCTTCATACTACAGATGCAAAGTTTATGTTGCTAAAGTGTATCAGACTTTTAAGTAAAATATTATTCTGTTGCAAAAATATTATTCCTATGCCCTCAACAGTCTGAACAACACTTTAACTGTATAAGTAGATCAGTCAGTCTAATTCCTTTGCCATTAAGGCTACAAGAGGTGAATAAGTATAAATACACATTAAATACCTGTGAAATCTATCAAATGAGTAAGCCAGGCTGAAAAAAATTATTAGTGCATCTTGTCTTGAAAGTATAAGATGCTAGAAATAAACAAGATCAGGTAATTTCTGAGTCAAAAATATGATTTGGAAACAAAAATTCTGTGTAGCTTCCTCCCTGCATTCACAGCCTGGACTGAGTTTAGCTCAAGTAGCACTCAATGGTTATTTGTGGGTTGTGATGAAAAGCAATAAAGTTATGATGCCATTTGTCAGAAAATAAGTGCTATTTATTATACATCCTTTTCTTTCTTCTCTGTTGAAGCTGCAAGCTGTCAGTGCTGGCTAGCACTCCTATATTGGCTTTTAGTTACAAGAGAGAATAGGACTGAAGATGATTTTTTTTTCATGCTAATCAAAATGTTTAGCAAAGCACTCTTTAAATCCTCATCTTCTGCTCTAAAGAGTGTTATTATCCACTATGATTAATTAATTCCAACTTTGCATGAGCCACTAGAATAAATACTTCCTGCATCTAAAGGCTCTGAAGAACAAGTTCTCCCACTTGGGTCAGTGTTTGAAATTCGTGACAACATGTAAACAGATTTTTTCATTATGTGGAGGGAATTACATATATCATTTAAGCTGCTTTTAATAATCATTACTCATCATGTAACTTCTCAGATGTGATTGTATGGATAGTTTTCATGTTCCCATGTTCAATGAAATGTGTTTAAATGTACCTCTGTATCCAGAACTGTGATTCTCTGACATACCCATTTCTGATTTTCAGTGAAAGAAGATTGGAATGTCAGGATCACGAAGCTAAGAAAGCAAGTAGAAGAGATATTTAATATGAAGTTTGGTAAGTTAAATGCTAAATGAACTGTTCTCTAATACGGCTGCATTTTAAAACTCCTCTGTTTCAATGTTATGGTACTTAACCCTCAGAAATACGCTAGGACAGATACGGAAATCTTGACTCCTCTTTTTTTTTTTTCACTGACCCTTTCCTATAATTTTCGTAGATGTTTTTATAACAACATCCTAGACCATATTTTTTCTAGTTGCATGACAAGACCTGATGGTATGTGCATGAAAGCTTTTAGATCAAAAAAGTTCTCAAAAGAAAATATTAGGCACTGCAGGCTTAGATGTCATCTGTAACAAGATGGACCAAGTCCCCATTTGCTGTTATCCTGCAGAAAATAATCAGAATATTTCAAATTTTCTATTGGTTTTTTTTTAATTATCTCTGAGTAGCAGAGCTTCTGTAAGCCAAACTTCTTAAAAATCACTGAGATAAAATGTAACCCATCTGAGTGTGTAAACTCTGATTAAATCTTTATTTTCAGCCCAGGCTCTGGGACTTTCAGAGGCAGTGAAAGTTCCCTATCCTGTATTTGAATCAAACCCCGAGTACTTGTACGTCGAAGGCTTGCCAGAAGGAATCCCCTTCCGGAGTCCCACGTGGTTTGGAATTCCACGCCTTGAAAGAATTGTCCGTGGGAGTGGCAAAATCAAATTTGTCGTTAAAAAGTATGTTTGTAATTCAGTTATTTTTACTCCTGATTTTGAAGTGACTTGATTTTATTCCCAGAAACTTTAGGCTTTAAATGCTACCTAAATTCTGTCACCATGAAACAGAAAGAATATTTTGCACATATGTTTTATCTCATAAAAGGATATAAATTCCTCATTAAATTTTTGTAGATGTTTCATGCATCAGGTATCTAGGGGGAAAATGGCCTTGTACCTGGAAGCTTTTTTCCTTCTTTTTTTCTTTTTCTTAACTTTTTATTGAAAAAGAAAACTGCAGAAGAAAATTACAAAGTAGAAAATGTTAGCTTTATGCTTTCTATTTTTTTGTGGTTGTAGTAGATGAAGTGCCATCCATGCTTTTGGCAGAATTTTAGAGAGCTGATGTTACATGAACTGGAACTCAACTGAATTGCAGTTGGTTGATTTGTGTTCTGTTCAACTTCTAGGCCTGAGCTTGTGACTTCCTATTTGCCTCCAGGACTGGCTAGTAAAATAAACACTAAAGGTAAACAATTAAGTATTATTTCCTGCCATCATTTGTAAATACGTAATTTCTTCTTCCCTAGCAGACTGAGGGATCTTTGTGGCTGAAAAATATGGATGTTGCAAACAAAAGGCATTATTTAAGATGATCGAGGATAGTAGCCTCTAAACCTGCTATTATTTGAAAAAGATACTCAAAATGTAAAATTATCTCCTTTTTTACTTGGCTATTCCAGTACAGAAAATGGAATTCACCCAATTTTGATCATTTTTATTTTGTTGTTAGTGGTTTAAACCGTATTTAACTTATGGCTGTGAAGAATGAAAGTGTCTTTCAAGTTGCCTATAAAAAATTCAGAATGATGTCTGCCAGGGCACAGACCCTGCTTGCTAAGGCTGCGAGCATCACTGCATTGCTCAGGTTTTGCAGTGCAGACTGTACTTAGCTCAGTCTCTTGGAATCTTCAAGTTACAGCTGTTTTCTCATTAGCTGTTCAGGTATAGAAGGTTTGTGCATTACAACTTGTGTTCCCCTGGCTTCTAGCAGTGAGGCCAAAGAGTTCCAAAAGGTCTAGAAGTCTTGCAGGCAATTCAGATGTCCCAGAGATCGAAGTTATTGTTGACAAAGATATCGAAGAAATATCATTAAATATTCTTCTGATGTTCTTCAATTTTGTTCTTCCGATGTTTTCTGTTCTTCTCAGCTTTCATAACCCATAAGTAACTTACGCATGCACCTCATGTTGCAAACTGTTTCATTTCAAGGCTCAAGATACACTTTAATGTAGAAAGAATTTTATTTTTTATTTCTGAATTCTGAATACTGGATTCTGTGTAGATGATGCTTAGGTAAAATGTTGGAATTTGACAGCTGCTTGGGACCAATATTCCAAGCAGAGATGTGGGAACTGATGTAGTCCTGAGCAGAGAAATAACAGACATGATCAGTAGTATCAAATGCTTAAATACAACCCTAGAAGAACTTCTTAACGTTCTTCTTTTTTTAAATTCTACTCTTGATTCAGAAGTTAAGGTTTCTCTAGTAAATCTAGTTTGATGCATTGCACTTTCTGTGTGATGACTTGCTTCTGCTCTCTGCCTGTGTATAAGTAATGTCTCTTCACAGGTCCTAATAAGCCACAAACAACAGATGCTCGAACTAATTCTCAAACCAATGGCTCCAATATAAGTTTCAAGCCACGAGGAAGAGATTTCTCATTTGGTAAGTGTGGTGGGAATTAGCACATATACATTCTTTTAATGTTGTTGTGGAAAATTCTGATTACATATCAGATATTTTGACTTTGTATTCTGTTGTAGAGTTAGTTAGTGAATGACTGAAGTACTTGTTTTTGTGTACATTTGGTTCTTCGTTGTGTGGAGTAATCTGCTTTAGAGGACTCCTGGGTGGTGCATGGAGAATGCTGTACAGATACACAGGTCCATTAGATCTTAGTGATTTGGGTTCAGAGTCAGTCCCTGTAGATTTTTGCTGGTCTGTTACTGCACAACGCTACAGACACTTGAAGGACTTTCCTGGTGCAGAGTACCACCAGAGCACAGAAACCCAGCTAAGATCTGATATTGCTGCACAGATTTGAAATACTGACATCTCTGTGCAGAAATACCTAGGTGGGATGTAGGGACTAGGAAGGATTTGAACTAAAATTAGTGAGCCATGGTCTGTTGGAGCCGATTTTTTAAGACTGCCACTATAGACCTCTCCAGTTCTGGAAAATCAGTAAAGGAAAAGCTGGATGGGACTGGAAGCCATGGAGTTATGTTCATGAGTGTTGGCTGGAGCTTTTTGGCCATGGAGGCCCAGGCCTGTCTGGGCAGTGCTCTGGTGCAGAAATCTCTGCATGTATGTCAGTTTGCAACCTAGATAAATTCTTCATAGTAGAGTGAGATGAGTGACAGCACTCAGAATAACCTCACTCAGTTCTACATCTGAGTAAACCTTTTCTTCATCATCCTTACATTCTGAGTTTATTTGCTTATATTTATGTAGGAATTTGTTATTTATCTTTTTTGTCCCCCATGCTTTCTTTTTAGCCATATGGTCATAAAATGTGAAAGGAATTCTTTGCTCCTACTGAGCCAGCTGAGAATGATTATAAGATGCCAGTTTGGAATGACTGCTCCTTTTGGCATAGGTGGCATTCATATTCAGAGTTGTGTGCAGTTTTCTTGGACTTCATTGTTAGACCAAGGCTTTTATCTTTTTCTTTTTTTCTTTTCTTTTTAAATCTGCAACTTTTTTGAACTTTCAGCTGAGTTTTTAGTTTTGTAGACTAGCCGTGGACCAGCCACCAGTAAACTGGTTTAGGAACTGTTCTGATGGCTGTTAGAAGCAAAATGCCTGCCCAGATGGACATTGAATCTTGCCCACTGAAGCAGAAACTGTTAAGAGTTTATCGTTCTCAGGAGAGAGATGTGTTTCAGGGCTGCATCGTAGAACATACGAAGAACTTTTCTGCTACTATTTTGGGTGCTGGTTCAGAGGGGTAAATTTTATGCTGCCTGATACTGTAAATTTGAATCATTCTTGGATTACTTTCAATTTTAATTGCATTTGCTTTATCTAGTAGCAATATCTTTCAAAGCCTCAGGAAAATGAGAGTTGATGTGAATAAATTTTGCAGAATGAAAGCCATTTTGCACATTTTGCTGCCACAGTAAATCAGTTATCAAGCACAATAATTTATTAAATATTTATTAAAATAGTCTTCAAAGACTGGCTCATTGTGTAAGTGGTGATTTAATTCTTCCCATTCCGTCCTGGCAGAGGCATGGAATGCCAAAATTACTGACTTAAAGCAGAAAGTCGAAAATCTTTTCAATGAAAAATGTGGTAAGTTTATTGATTCTTTTTTATTGAGATCTCTTTCTTATGAACATGCAGTTAGGTGTATGAGAGATGTTCACATGTTTATTCCAGAAGTCCTGCAGTCCTTGTGTACTCTACAGTTTCCCATCAGTGTTCATTCGCATGTACTTTCTTGCCATTCTGTGTCATGTTTCCACTAGTTACTTTATTTGGGTTTGGAAATAGAGTACAACAATTTTAATGATCCATGACACAGTGACTCCACATCCTGTCACATCTTTTTAAGCTTTGCTTTGCTCTTCCTTCGAGTGGGTCTTGTTATGACTCTGCATAACGCGATACTTCGCGGATGGTATCTGGAGAGATGTGCTCTGTCGTATTCCAGCACTTCTGCTAGTGCAGACTGTTTGGAAACTAATGACTTTTGGAAGCAATGGCATCTCATTACTCTTCTTAGTGAGTTTTTGAACAAGAGCACTAATCTCACCTGCCCTCAGTGCTGTTCTGTAGAAGAGAATTCCCTGTAACATAGTAGGGTACAAATGCGATAGTCTTGTGTACAGACCAAGCCAGTGGCATGAGCTGGCTGCAAATTACTAATTTTCTTCAAATTATGCTGAGATTTACTGCAGCAGAAGAAGTTATGTGTGAGACTGTTAGTTTTTCTGCCTGCTCGTAGCTGTCACCAAAAAATGTAAAGCCTGCTGGTTCCACCTAATACAGTATGTATGTGGCAACCGTTCTGTCCTGTTACCTATCTGGTAGCTTGTTTGCTCTGTTGCCTTTCAGGGGAAGCACTGGGACTCACTGAACCGGTGAAGGTGCCATTTGCACTGTTTGAATCCTTCCCAGAGGTCTTTTATGTGGAAGGACTACCTGTGGGGGTGCCATTCCGCCGACCGTCAACTTTTGGAATTCCAAGACTAGAGAAGATCCTGAGAAACAAATCTAAGATAAAATTCATTATTAAAAAGTAAGACTCCCATATGTCTTTGATAATCTGTTCTATGAGAATTGAAATGTGGACCAAAACATGAAATGGTGTTGCAGAGTTGCTAAATTACTCTGTAGAATACACACTGTAATATTTTTAGTAAGATGGTCAGAAAGCTCTTACAGAGCTGGTGTAAGATAGAGTAATCTCTTTGTTCATAAAGACTCTTAAAGCCTATTTTGAGAGGAAGAGCAAGTCCAGATTTTTTTGTCCATTTCAGTTATCATCACTGGTTTAGGTCCTACATCATGGAGCACTTCTGGGTTACTCATGAAGCTTGCTGGCTGTTGAGAAGTTGAGATGCATATATTGAGGGTTGTAAGAATGTTTATTTCCTTGTCTAGAACAGGTGTAGATACCCATGTGCCAGTGTAGAAACAGTGGAAAGAGAAGTTACAAGGGGCATTCTTTGGGCCTCTAGGGCATGTAGTGATAGGTCAGGGAGTAATGGCTTTAAACTGATAGGGCAGGGTTAGATTGGATCTTGGGAAGAAATTTTCCCTGTGAGGGTGGTGAGACACTGGCACAGGTTGCCCAGAGAAGCTGTGGCTGCTCCATCCCTGGGAGTGTTCCAGGCCAGGTTGGATGGGGCTTGGAGCAGCCTGGGCTGGTGGAAGGTGTCCCTGCCCAGGGCAGGGGGTGGAATGAGATGGTCGTTAAGGTCTCTTCCAACCCAAACCATTCTGTGAAGTTAGGGAGCCTCTCAGTCATTGCATTCTTCAACTTCTTTGACTGAGAAATGACTTCTTTAGCTGAGGGGATATCACTTAGTTCCTGTCTCTAATAAAATAATACTAGAAAATTGCATTTACTGTAATGATGATGTAATTTTATTATTGTGCATGAAATGTTCAATCTGTTTGCAGGCCTGAGATGTTTGAGGCAGCTGTTAAAGAAAGCTCTACTAGAAGCCCCCAAAGTGAGTTTTGCAACTATTTATTGTTCTAGATAACAGTTTATTTCAAGGATTAAATTATGAGATCTGCATGGTGTTAACAAATTGCTGAAGGATTCATTCTACATTGTGCTTGCTTGGTTTGATTGCTTGCTTGTTTGTTTTTAAGATGGGAAAAGCACTTACCAGTTACAGTTTAAATATAGCCCTAGCAAGGAAGTAATCATTTTTTTCAGTCAGTCACAATAATCATGCCTCTAAATATATTCTTTACTACCTTTTCTCAAAATGTAGCCAGTAATGTATGATTCACAGGAGTCATTCAGGTCTAGAGACAAATTATTTGCTCCTAAGATGTAGGTCATCTAAATGGCAAGTGCTCCAGAGACAGGAGTGCATATAGCCAGTAGAAAATCGTGTCATATAGGTAGGTCCTCGAATAAATGCTCCCATTTTGAAACTAGAACTGTGTCCTCTTTGAAAACCTTGACAGTATCTGTTGTTTTGCAGTATTTTCTTCATGTAACAGATTGAAGATTTGTAGCCCTCTACAAATGTTTTTTGAATTAATTCTCTTAGGAAAAAATAATTCATCTAATATAGCCAATACAGCAAGTGCCACAGCAAACACAGTGGTGAACACAGCTGCAGGTGTTGAAGACCTTAACATCATTCAAGTAACTATACCTGGTATGTATACTGATTGGTTTCATGTCATGCTACTTGTGCTTATATTCTTCATTACATTTGTTTCGTTTGATGAAGTTTTTTCCTCCAGTCAAGCTGGTTTGCTGAAATACAAGTGCAGTCAACAAAGAGCATAATTTAGCATTCTGTTCTTGCTGAGATGTTAAGTATTTTCTAACACTCATGAATATCTCTTCATTGACATCTCTAGAATATTCTTTGTCCAATCCCTAGTTAAGAAACATGCATGTTTGTCTCATGCAATAAATTAAATATTGATTTGCAATTCTTGGCAACTTCAAGAGGTCAGTACTTGACCAAATGAAATAACCATTCTGGCCGAACTGCTTCGTCTTAGCACTGTTTACTGCTTCCTCAGGCATGTACTGCATTCACTGGAGTTGGTTAGCAATCATGTGCAGTGTTGGATGCTGTGGCCATCTATTGAATGGTCACTTTGCTTTTACCATTTCCCACTTTACCTTTGTGGGTTTAGATTAAGTTTGCAAAATCATCTCCTAGGTCATCAACCTAGATTGCTCCCTGGAAGTGTTCCAGGCCAGGTTGAACAGGGCTTGTAGCAACCTGGTCTAGTGGAAGGTGTCCCTGACCGTAGCAGGGGGTGGGACTGGATGAGCTTTGAAGTCCCTTCCAAACCAAACCAGTCTGGGATTCTGTGGTTTCATAACAACCATCTGTTTTTGTGTATTTGTACAATTCTCTCTTACTGCTAAAATAAGGCTCAAAGACAGCACTTGCTTTGAAGCACTCAGGTGTACCTGCTTTGAGTAAACATGCAGTGATAAACAAGCTTCAAGGGGGAAAAATGTGTTTCTCATGCTGTTCTAACAATTTCTTTCAGATGATGAAAGTGAGCGACTGTCAAAAGTAGAGAAGGCCAGACAACTGAGAGAGCAAGTAAACGATCTTTTTAGCCGGAAATTCGGTAATTGCTTCTTACTCTCCATTTTTATGTACGTGTGGGTGCAATTTATGTTGTTCATACTAAAGTTACTGAATCATCACAGTGAATGATATATGTGGTCATTAAAATGAACAAATTTGAGAATTGTATATTAATCTTATGCTTTGACTATATTAGAAAAAAGCTTTTTACTCTAAGGGTGGTGAGACACTGTCCCAGGTTGCCCAGGGACGTGGTGGCTGCCCCAGGCCTGGCAGTGTTCAAGGCCAGGCTGGATGAGCCTTGAGCAACATGATCTAGTGGGGAGTTGTCCCTGCCCAGGGCAGGGGGTTCGAACTAGATCCATTCCAACCCTTCAATTCTATGATTCTGTGGCTACAAAAAGAACCTTTTATATATGATGTAGGTAGTTCAGTGTTTTAAGCAAGAAAATCCTAAATGTCTAGATTGCTCCGTGATTCCCCCTCCCTTTTCCTGTTTCTTTCTGTGTAAACAAGGATGAAATACTTATTTTGCTGGCAATCCACAGTTCTTCTCAGGGCTTTGTAATCCTGACCTCTAAATACTTAGGACTAGAGTAATTTTAAAAACACAACTTAACGTTTTTACTGTGTATAGTTTTCTTTGTGTTTTTATTTTGCATTGTACAGCAGTAATGACCTGAGTTTCTTTATCTGAAATTCCTTAGCTTGTGCTGTGTTGAACTGCTTTTCATGGCATTGTATGAAACATTTTGTTTTCTTCATGTAGCTTTTTCCTTTGATATCCTGTTATATACCTCTTTAGTAAAAACAGAATCTGTGTTCTTTGCATGGTGAGCTGTCAGGGTTGGAGTTGTGATTAATGTTCCTGTAGTAATGTTCATAAGTGTCATCTAAACCCACTATTTCTGTCAACACTGCAACAGTTCCATCGTCATGTGAATTTTCATTGTTTCAGATCTGATAGAAAGCTTGGGTTTAGGTTTTGTTTCTTAATCATCTGGGTACTTTTTCATCAGTGTAATCATAAATACTGTAGGCTTGAAAATAGACATGATCTCTGTCACCTAGGTGAAGCCATTGGTTTGAATTTTCCCATGAAAGTTCCATACAGAAAAATCACTGTCAACCCTGGCTGTGTGGTGGTGGATGGAATGCCTCCCGGCGTGGCATTTAAAGCCCCCAGTTACCTGGAAATCAGCTCCATGAGGAAGATTTTGGAATCAGCAGAGTTTATCAAGTTCACTGTCATTCGGTATGTAGTTGGCATTGGTTAGGCAGTTGTGAGCACAACGCTGCGTCTGGAATAAACTGAGGGGTGAGAGAGCAGAAGTTGCAATGCATCTTGAAATAGTGTGAGGTCTTGGCTCCTTCGGGTAACAGTGTACCAGGTCACCTGAAGCCAGGTGTTCCTAGCATGTGTGAAGGACACATCCAATTTAGTGTGACAAAGGGCGTGTCATTAACTCTGCGTATTACCCCAGGCTGTTCTCCGAGTTGAAACTGGGTCATGTTTGTAGCAAAGTCCTGTAGTTCTGTGTGTCTCTCCCATTCATAAGATCAAGTTTTGAGACAAGTCCAGAGCTTGTTGGCTCTTAACAGTCAATAGTATGTTTGTAGTAATACTGCTATGGGTATTTTTAAATATTTCAGTTGTGTTAAGAATCCTGAGTTTAGGTAAACTCTTTGATAATTTTTACCCTACAAAATTAGTTTATCTACAATATTTAAAAATACAATGTCGTCCAACTAAATATTGTGGCATTCCATTTTATGTGTGTATTTCCATAGACATACACACACACATATATGCAAAATCAATTTATGTGCTTGAAGCAGGATAATGAAACTTTGGATGACCCGAAAATAAAAATTTTTCTGTAATATATGAAATCACAGATGGCTTCATAGGAGTCTTGAAGCTTCAGTTTATCTTTGGCGAGAGAAATCTCTTAAATATGTTTTACTAAGGGGTCTGAATTCTCAGTCCTTAATCATGCTGTGTTCTAACCAAAAGGACTTTGAGGCGTGTTGCTGAAGGGAGCTCTGGAGCAGAGGTGACTCAGGGAAGGGTTTAGCTCTTCCAGCATATGTTACTTTTCAAAACACTAGTGAACAAACACAGTGCCCAAGAGCTTCTATGACAGTTCCTTCTGCCTTATTTGACTTTCTGTTCATGACCTCTGTTACAGAAGATACGGGGAGTTTGCCTTGGGAGAAGACCCCACGCAGCGTGTTTTAGAATCAATGATTTTTTTATTTTCTTTTCAGACCATTTCCAGGACTTGTGATTAACAATCGTAAGTATTTGAGACACTGATGACAAATATATTTTTGTAACCTATCAAGATTCATTTCCTACATTGCAGCTTAGTGGCAGAGGCTCCACAGTGGTTCAGGTCTGTGTCTTACTAAGATTTCCTGACTGAACATGAATGTACAGTTAACTTGAGAACAGGGGGGTAAATTTACATTTAAGCAGCATAAGATTAGCATTAACTTTGAGATGAAAATGCAAGACACTGATTATGTATTTTTCAGCTGCAGAGTTCCAAAGAGATTTAGGACCCAGACTGATGAACAGGCTTACATGAGAGTGCCTACATTGTAGGTTTGGATCTATCACAGTAAGAGTTAATAAACAAGAACTTTACAGTATCAGCACAACCCTGTTCCAGTGAAAACTCTGCAGTCTGCTGGAACTGACTGTTCAGAGAGGCAGACTGTAGTTAGCTGAATTGCCATGGCCAATTTGGCCCTGTAATGGAATTGTTTGGGGGTGGGAGGGAAAGTGACAGTATTTTCAGCTGCCTGAAATAATTGTGACCTGATTATTAGATCTTATTTAAGAGAAAAAACAAATCACAAAACCCTGTCATTACAGTGTCTGTTGTGTCATGTTCTTTCTGAGCCAATGTCAAATCAGACATTCTGAGGCCAGATAAGCTACTGGCATTGATTTGCCCTATCCCAGCCTGAGCCTTAGCAACCCACCATTTGTGTGTGTGCATCCAGCACATTCCAGCTAACAAGCTGAGGTCTATACACTGTGTGTTTGAGGTGTTCTCAGGAAGACCTTGTAGCCAGTAACTCCCACTGACCTGCTGTCCTAGGCATGCCTTCTTAAGTAGGAAAGAGGTCCCTTTGCAAGAGGAAGCCTTCCAGGCAGATAAGTGTGTAATAGCATTTCCAGGGAATTAGAGACGAATCTATTGATCTGTTGTCTGTTCAGCATAATTGTCAGCACGTGCTGGAACTGGGGAAGCAGATTGGTCATTGACTACATGGGGTATGGGCTTTATCCATTTCTGCTAATTCTGATCAAAATGATCTGATGCTGATGGATACCAAGGTGAATAATTGGAAGTCTCTAAGCCTACTGCTTATAGGTATGATGCTTTATTCTTCATCTGAAGAAAATGTGGGAACTTAAAAGGAAATTTTGGTGCTTGCAGGCAAGATGGGGAATGTTTTTTCTGTAAGAGAAAATATCCAACAGCAGCTCAGTCACAAGTGTTAGCTACATGTTTGTGTGACAAGTTCCAGGATTTGCAGATTGAAAGGTGGCCCGTGTGTTATGAGGGGATGGTTTTCATTGTGAAGTTCAACAGTGGTCATGTCTAATCTTAGATCTGATGGAAAAAGCGGAAGCGGAAGCACCACTAGCAGCTCCAGCAGCAGCCCCAGTACTACCAGGTGATCCAGAATGTGATGTGTGTCCTTGCAGGAGGGGTGGGGTATGGAGTTCTCCATCTTACTGGCAGATGACATTAGTAGTCACATCCTGGGTATGTGCTGCTCGTGATAAGCCATTCCACCATGACAGACGGTGTGCGACGGTGACTTTTATAGCAGTTAAATAGTAATAATTGAATGGAAAGAGCCATTGGTTTCTTCCAGCTGTGCCACTGGCATGTTCCTTGATTGATTTTTGCAGATGATGAGTGAGCTGAAAAGAAGGATTAATATGGGTAATATATAAAACCAATTCAGTACCCATTTATTGATGTCTGCTTAACTCACACATGTGCATGTCTGCAGTAGATGGTTGTTCAGCCAAGTGAAATTTGCCTGTGTAACATATAGGAACCTGGAATGGGGTCTGGATGGAATTTCTAACTACTGCAGAGCTCTGTATCCCCTGCTAGACTGTGTCTGGGACTGCAGGCATCACTATCATAGTCTGAAGGGACAGCCTAGCTTTGTGGCTGAGCAGCTTCCTTTTGGCCCAATATAGCTTCTCAGTGTTCACAGACCTTTTAAAAATGTGTATCCTGAGTTGGTGTAGTGTGGGAAAAGCTTTTGCCATTGACTGAATAAACTGTTACTCGAAGAAACTGGTAAACTAAGAGAAAACATTTGATAAATATACTAAGAGTAAGGGACACTTGTATGATGAGAATTACTATAAAGGAAACAACTGGCTCTTCTATTTACATATGGAGGTGATGGGAGGGAGCAAAGCAACTGATGATGATCTGTGAGCTTTCTGTAGCCTGTCTGTCCTGAACTCAGCTGCAGTATTAAAAAGGTTAAGTGTCTTTCCTGTCCATCTATAATTTATCCAGAGTTGCTAGAAAACTCAGTATGGAATTAAAACATACTTCTTGTCCTCTATTCTGCACCTTCCCACTCTCCCCCAAAGTATCCATACTCGCCATCCGAGGCAATGCTTATCAGAAGTGATGACTCTTCTGCCAAACACAGTTCTGTGTTTAAGCTGTTTGAGTAAAGCTATTCCAAACTTGGTATGTTCTGTGCAAGTGCTCAGACTTGATATGTCTGCACAGTGAACCATTCTTGGAAGAGAAAGTATTAGGTAATTTAATGTAATAAATGTTTGGGGGTTTTTTATATGTTGCTGCAGACTATAGAAAGTTACTCAAATTTATCTCAGACAAAGATATATGTGTTTGATCATTAAAGTTTTTTACAGGGAAAACTTAATTTCCTTAATCTGATTCGTCTTGTTGAAACTATATTCATATTTATTTGACTGTATTTTTTTCATTTAAGACCCAGCTGAACCAAGCCAGATAGAAGTATCTGTACGAGGTAAGTGTTTGTCTTCAGTTATTATCAGCAAATATTTTTAAGTAATATTGAACAAGGATGCATCTTTTTTAAAGTCAGGTCAATCAAAACCAAAATAACAACTTTTATTGGTTCACAGGAAATTTTTCAGCTGTATTAATATCATGATGCATCATTTGAAAAATAATCTGCAGCAGAAGTTATTATTCAAGTAGATTTAAAAGGGGGTTTATGAATTATTGTTCATGGTTGGTGAGTCGTGACTAGATAGGCTCTGAGTGATCACTCATGTCCTTAGCGATGCATCTAGTTACTCGGTGCAGTACTTGCCACAATTGATGCAAGTGAGTGATTGCCACCTCCAGGAACTCTAAATGCCACACTGGCCTTGGATATGCTGAGGAAGTGGAGTATTGTTGTTTTTCTAGAACTTAAGCTCTGAGAAACATCAAACTTTCCTGTGGTCCAAGAATATAGTTGAGTTGTACCTTTTTCAGATAGTCATAGAATCACTTAGGCTGGAAAAGCCTTCTAAAAACATTGAGTTCAACCTTTTACCCAGCACTGCCAAGGCCACCACTAAACCGTGCCCCCAAGTGCCACATCTGCATGGCTTTTAAATCCCTCCAGGGATGTGACTCCACGGTGCCAGGGCTGGACAGGCTGAAGAAATGTTTCCTAATACGTTGATACATCTGAAAGCAAGGAGGCTGTAGATTTTGTATTCCCCACCCTGTGCTTTTGTATGTGATCTCGGTGCACTAGGAATTCTGAATTGACATGAGAGTTGGGATGCTGCTGTGTGCTCTGCACGTGGAAATGCTGCCTCTGCCATATCCCAGTCTGCCAGCACAGCCCTGGGCGGCACAGGGGATCCAAGGTGCTGTGGTGGTTTGCCAGGGAGCTTCCTTCCTCTCAGAGAGGGGCTTGTCCAGCTTGATGGCAGCATAGCCAACAGCCCTGGAATGGAGGCTGCTGTGCACCAGCACTTGTCATCTTAAGACTCTTAACTTCAGGTCATTCCCTAATCCTGCTTAAGTTCCCCCAAAAGAGAAAGCAGCAAATCTCAACACCCCTGTCCCTCTGTACCCTTCCCAGTCTCCATTGCTTCAGTTTCCCCGTCAGTGTCACTGAACTCTGAGCCAAGTCAACATGCTCAACCAGAACAAGTGTTACAAGCTCAGTTACAGGTTCTCTCTGAGGAGTTTTGATTGTTCTTTCTGGGAGTATGGATCAACCCTGTTGCAGCAAAGACAGGCCAGAAAGCAAGCGTTAGTCACCGCAGAGCTGAGCTAACAGTTAATGAAAGCTGAAACATCAGAAGTCACTGGGGTCACTGAAGATGGAGAAAGACAGTTGTTCCTGCATACCATCATGTGGGGAAATCTAGCTGTGGCCTTCAAAGAATGGTTTGGGAATGATATGGAAGTGTGGTTTTGAATTTTTCATCCAAAACTGGATTCAGACCCCCTAACTAGAGAAATGTTTTTGAGAAAAGGCATATGATTGTTAAAGATTCCAAAATGACTTCAGAACTAGGCTGGAAGGTATAAAATGATCATGTGGTGAAACAGCTAGGCTTTGTAATGATGAATTACACTCGCCCCGAACCTTCCAAACAACTTCAGGGAAGAACCAATTTCTTTCCAACATCATATTCTCTGTTTGTAAAAAGAATAGAATCAGGCTTCAGGTCATATAGACTGTGCTATACAGGCATAAGATTCCTTTGATTTACCTCCAAGAGTTCCTGAAATAAAAAATTTTATCAAAAGATGATGAATGCATTAGCCAACAAGATAGGTTTGTTTTCTTTTCAAACACATCATAATGCCTTTCTGTGTGATACTGTGCTTTGAAGAAGAAAATTAGCTAGTTAGGGTCAGGGTTTGTTTTGCACAGATTGAAATAGAATAATGCAGAAGTCTTTATCTAGTTGAGACAGAAGCAGCCCTACTAATGCAGATTTTTATTTTAAAATCTGAAGTTCTCTGAGCCCCCAGACTGCTTTACATTGCATTTCCACTGAATCAGATTGCTCTGAACACATTTTTATTTATCATCAATAGTTTAAAAGGATAATGCTTTTCATGTTTTCATAAATTTTACTTACTAAGTACAACAATAAAAAATTGGTAGGGTAGTTCCTCTTTCTTTCATTCCCTGCTGCTTTTTCAACAGATACTACAGAAACAGAAGAAAATTCTCAAATAAAGCAAGAACCAGACCCAACGTGGTAGACCTCATCAATACTGGGTAAATAATTTAGTGTTTGTTGAAGCTGGTACCTGTCAAGGTATTTGGGGGGTTTTAGGTGGGGAGAAGAGGGCTAAGGCACAATCCTGAAAGTGCCAGTCCACGACATGTCAATTGTTTTATCTGTCTCAGTTCTCACCTATAAACTGTAGGATGTTTTCACTTCCTTACACAAATACACTGTAAAGCATACTGTGTTCAGATTTGTGAGGTAGTCACTCAGTCCTAGGAAAGCATGGCCTAAAACTAAACGCGTGTGATGGTAATTACATAGTGTTTATGAAGAGCTCTGGCATGGCTGTGTGATACAGCTTTATAGTTCTTGGTAAGACCTATATGTTTCCAAATGGTAAATGAGCAGGAAAGCTCTTCACTGTCCCTGCAGTATTGTCTGAGCTTGGGACAGTGGGTAAAGCTATTAGCTGTGATGACAAACCAACTTCCTTTTTGAAGTTTTCTTTCTTTTTCAATAACTTTTATGAAAAGCTTAGTTTAATTTGCAATGTTCAAATCTCTCTCTCCGGTTATTTTCAACTTCACTTTTTCCAAAAAACGACATTTTGATTGCAGTAATAGTGATGCTGTTACATCACAGAATCTAAAATGTCGATACACATGGGTTTGAGTCTCTGTGCTTCATTCAGAGAAAATGATACTGCTTCTCGTTTCAGTTTTTTGATAATACTCCAAATCAGATGTTATCCTCATTGGGCAGTGTTTTGTTACTTCAGCAGTTTGATTGGATTGGTATAAAGTCAGATGAAGCAGTGGCTGGGGGAGCCTGTGGGTTTCACTTCTGGCACCGTTCCACAAACACAGCCCAGGCTGCTGGCAGCACCAGGACGATGAAATGATGTGGCAGAAAGTGGCAGCAACTGATGCACCAGCGCCCAACTGTCTGCGGCTCATGTGTTACAGGCACAGCAGTCATGGCTTTATTCAATCAGGGAAGTCTGCTTTGGGGTATTAGTCATAAAACTGAACGTGGCAGGAGAAAATACACTAAAGAAAAGCTTTTGATTTGTCGTGGGAAGCACTTCAGCCAGTGAGGTATAAAAAAAAATAAATCTCAGTTGTCCATTAAAGGTCACAGCAGTGTCTGAACAATAGCTGCACCATTTGATGCTGCAGTGGTTCAGGTTTTTGGATGCTCTGGGCCATCCACTGAATTTATGCTAAAGTAATTATTTGCTCTAAATTCTGACAGAGACCACTCAGGCACACATTTAGTCTCCTATTTATTGAGAGCCATATTCAGCTCCTGCATGCTGGCTGAATCTTGGCCTAGAGAACCGGAAAAGGCAACACGAACGGCTTGTAGTTGTGATAAGATACTGCAACAAGGCAGCAATGAAACTAACCCACTTTTGTAATCTTTTACCCAGTCAGAAGCATCCAGTTCTGAGAAGAGCCTGCCAGGCCAGTCTGGGGCTGTGTAATATAACTGTATAAGAGAAGTACCTTCTGTACAAACCCTTTTGTACTTTTAGATAGAAATACCTACTTTTTCAGCAGTTCTGTGAATTGACTTAAAGCAAAGAATGACTGTAGATTTGGAATGGCTGGTTTTACTTTGGTATATATTATAAGGACTAAATTTGATGCAGCAATGCTGGAAGATGACAAGTTTAAATCAACAGGGACTTAGCCAAAGCTGTTGACATTTCCCAACAAAGTGAATTTCACCATACCTGAATGTACCTCAGCCTTTGTAATGAAGAACAGTTCCTGCAAAGAGTTCAGTTTGTTGGTTTTACTTCGGAAGAAAAAAAATCACTATTTTTCAGTTATTACTCCTTTAATGGCTAATTGGGCAATAGTATCTGTATATTTGAACTAATTTTTCCTATTATAGCTCTCACAGTTCATATGTTTTTCATAAATAAAAGATACACTGGTTTACTCGATGGTTAGTATGCATTAATGAGATGGATTGTGAAATGGTCAGTATTTCAGTGCGTGGATTAGGAACAAGTTTAAATTGAACCTGTTACAGTTTGTCCCATTAACTTAAAAGTAGTAAGTGCATGTTCTATCAGAGTATCACATAGTTTATATAGGATGGGTTTGGCTGTGCAGTCCTACCATAGGCAAAACTCACATGGACCTGTGTGAAAGCTTTTCTGCTGAAGGCCTAGGGGAATGTCCTTCTGTCCATCTAGAACTAGTTACAGAAATGTGTACTGCAAACTGCTCTAAGTCCTACTGCATCGAAAGTTAAGTCCCCTGTAGTCCTGGGTACACCTCATATCATGTAAGAGACTCATGTACATGGGGTTTTTTTGAGTTTCACAAATCATAAGAGATGTAAAGTTCTGTCTATATGATAATCTCTAAAAATGCAGATTATTGTAAAGGTTTCTCTTTTACTGGCATGAATTTGAGATGACTTCATTACACACAAATGGTAAACCTTATTCCCTGACAAACAAAGACCTTTCTGGTGGGTTTCCTGACTGTCCATGCAGTAGATATTTATGTTTTAGAACAAACCGAGTCCTAGCAGTAAGTCTGTAGGCAGGCAGGGCAGGCTGCAGCATAGTTACTCCTTCCAGCAAAGAAGTAAGATTCAGTCATGCCTTTGAGACAGAAATCCAGCCCCAGATGGCTGAGGTGGTTGTATCTCCAAGGAAAATTTTGAAGCCTTACATTCGATTGAGTGCAGTGCCTGTTCCCTGGGAGTAACCCGAAATTCAGCACATGAATTCAGAGCAGCTCATGCTTGGTCATTCCAGAGGCAAGGGAGAGCTGTAGGACATGTGCTTGTGCTTTCACAATTGCTCTGGACAGATTTACCTTCAGTATTTTGAAAGTGCTCATCCCAGTCCTACCTTCAGGCAGGAGCTGGTGGTGTGCAGTGCTGTGCTGCCTTCCTGCCTCAGCAGACAGCTCCTCCCGGCTGGAGGGACCAGCCTGTTGCTGCAGCTCACCTGTTAGCCACAGTGTGGTCACTGACATATTTGCCTGCTGATCACCTGGACAGGTGTGCTCAGTTAGTGACCCTCTGGCCATAGGTGAGGATCAGGGGCATGGCAGTTTCACACTTGCTGCTAGACGTGTTCAGAACGCGGAAACGAGCCCGTGCAGCTTTCCCAGGGTTTCAGCAGGTTTGACTTCCCCTTCTGAAAAGGCAGAAGGATGTTCCATCCCTTCTTCGCTCCCAGCCCTCTTTAGGAGGCACTTTCTGCACAGCTGCCTGTCTGTTGCGGGGGGAGTCAATAGTACACTCAAAATGAGGGTGAAGCATCACAGTGATGGAAAATAAATAATTCTAGGCTATTGCCTTGTCAAGTGTGTAACAGCAGAGTGGCCCTCCGGCAGCTTTGTGTGCTGGAGCTGAAAAAGATTAAGTGAAAGTGGATGCAGTGGTTTTACAGGAAGGACTGGGAGCTCGGGTGGTGGGGTGTGGTGCCTGGAGCTCTGTGGGCAGTAATGCTGACGGGTGCATTGGCACTCGACGCTGAGACACTTCGGGTTATATCCAGTACAGAGAAATCAGACTGACAAAACAATTGCACCAATATTTATGCTTTCCAAATACCGATTTTGTATTAATAAAATATTTATATATATTCCTAACAGGTAGCAGACTTTTAAGATATTGACCAGGTATGAAAATCTCAGTCATTTTCAAACTCATAATACGTGAGGTGTGTCACTGTTTGGATGTTGAGCGATAATGCCCTCAAAAGTCTTGGCTGTACTAATAAGTAAATAAATAAAATTACAACTTAACGGAGCTCTGACTAGTTTTTGTTCCAGCAGGGAAGGTTTGTGGTGACAAAGAAGCAGAGAAGTATTTATTCCTCATGTTCTACTGAACTTCAAAAGCCTGTCCAGTGCAGTGGGCTGGCTCCTTTTTCTTAAACAGGAACTTTGGGTCCAAGTAGTGTAGGATGCAGCATGTCCATGGTGGAACTGGATGCTCCTCAGGTATGGCACCCTGGCTTTTCTCACAGCGTAGCCACTAGAGTGCTGTCTAGCACCTCTGTGGTGCAGCTGCTGACCAGTGTTTTTCCCTTGGGATTTGAAGTTTGCCACTTACAATACTCGAGCCTTTTTTCCTTTGTTTCTTTTCATATCTGTTCTGTCAGAGACCCACTGCCAAGGAAGAGGGCAGGCTGTTATTTCTGTGGTTGTGTAACAGCTCTCTGCCATCAGAGGCATAAGCAAGGCCTCCCTTGGCTCTGGTTTGAATTAACCTGAAATTTAAACTACCAAAAATCAAAGATTGCATTTTGTACAAAGATTAGGGTGGCATTCCTTTTATCAGCTCTTAATTCCTGCAGCTTTGGTACTAGTTTTGGGTGGAGCAGTGCAGTGAAGAGGATAGTCCATTTGTGTAAGAAGCTCTAAACCTTCAGCACTCCAACAACCTGGATTGAAATCCATACCCTGAAGTCCTGCGGGTGCTGTTCCCACTTCAAAGCAGTGGGGCCCTGCTGAGAGCACTGTTGCCAGCTCAGTCTGGAGGCCATAGATCTCCATCTCTTTCAAAACCAGGTCATGCATTCAGATGCCAGCCTTGTTTCCCAGAACATGAATCAGCTCATGAACTCCATAACCACAGCTTGGTCATCAGATGGGTCATTCCTCTTCTAAGAATCTTCTTCTAAAATTATGCTGCTTAACACCTATTAACTGTAGGACAGCGAGCAGAGTACTGGGCAGTGTATTGCACTGAATTACAGGTTGTGGTCTCCCTGTGACCTAACCCATCACTAGCAGCAGGGTCTACAACTGTTTCATTTCTTACACCACAAGATGAGCAATGGGGAAAACGGGAAGAAACACATGAATTAAGAGGTTTCCAGTAATATACTGCCTGTAATGCACTTTTAAATTTAGTACAAACAATTGTAATTATGAAATCAGCTTTCATGACAGTCTGTGGTGTTAGCAGCTCTCTGGTGGCTAACAGCAGAATCCAAACAGCCCTGGAGGGGTCGTTTTAATATCAGTGGTTGTATAATTTTGCCTTGCATACAGGGAAATCCCCATGTTAAAACAGTAAGAAACCAAATGTAAATGACCATGTTTCTGAACTCCACAGCTGCAAAGCACCACACCCAGGGGAAAGGTACAGTTAGTATTTGATGCTTCTAATGCAGCCAGAACAAGCTTTTGTCTTCACAGCCAACAAGGGCATCGGGCCGACCCTGTGCAAGGGTTTGCTTCTGCTGGTCAGTGGGGAGAGCCCCCTTCAGCTCTGCCGTGGGTTGGGACTGCTGCCTGCTGTGATCAGGGGATGGGAGTGCTGCCTCACTGCCCTCTGCTTCTGGCTGAGCACAGGGCTGGGTTTGCTCTGGTGCCCAGCTCGTGGTGACATGCTGGCCTGTTGGGGACACCAACTGCACCTGGGCACGGGCTCCCAGGGAGGGTGGAACACAGGGAGTCGGGTGGGGATGAGGGCTCGTGGCTGGCTGGAGCTGTGCTCCTTTGAGCATCCTGTGGAGAGTGGGTCCTACCTCTGTCAGAGGAGTGCCACCCATTGCAGCCGAGGGTGCCCTTGGTGGGGACAAAAGTGCTCCTGGGTGCACCTTTGCCTGTGAGCTGTGTGGCATTTCTGCTCAGGGCTGGGGATAGAGGAGGAGAATGCAGATGGTGTGCTTGGCATTTCAGTGGGGCTTAGCAAGGGACCCTTCTGCTCTCCTAGGGCTTCCCTATGCCTGGGGTCCCCTCCTATACAGCTCTGGGTAAGGTGGTGAGCAGGGCTGGGACTGGCACAGGTCCTCGGTGGCTGTTCAAGAGAGGCTTTTGGTGGCAGATTTTGGGGAAGCTGCTGGTGACCAAAGGAAAGCAGTGATGCAAGGGCAGGAGCTCTTGCACACAGAGCCTGTGGCTGCCCCGTCCTGCCTGTGCTGTGCTCCAGCTTCCCTACCTGCCCTTCCCAGCCATCCCGAGGACAGTGCTGCCATCCCCAGGCTCAGGGAGTGCATTATGTGCTTCATTCATCCGTTCCAGCTCTGCTGGAGAGGATAAAGGCTCCTTTGGCTGCCATTGCCAAGGCACCTGTCTGTCCTTGATCCTGTGCTGCAGTACCCTGTGCCGTCAAGGGACAGCATTAGCAGTCAGAGGGGTCTCATATATCAAGCAGCCAGCCTGGCCCTCGCCCTTCACTGTCCTCTGATTCCAGAGGTGCCTCCAGAGTATCCCCGAAGCCTCCAGGCCTGTTTCCTTCTCAGCCCTGCAGCCACTGAAGGGGCTGGGCTGGGAACTCCCTGCAAGAAACACAGACTCAATAGGAACCACAGCGGGTGTGATTGCAGCGGCAGTTCCGCTTCCTCAGGGCTGTGACAGCGAAGCAGAGCTGTGCCAGAGCAGAGCAGAGGGGAAGGGAGGGAGGACACCTGAGGAGGCAGGAGCAGGGTCCGGAGCAGGACGCTGCGGCCAGGAGCAGCCATGGGGGATGTCTTCATCCGGCACATCGAACTGCTGGGCTACGAGAAAAGGTTTTTCCCCAGCCAGCACTATGTGAGTATAGAGTGACCTTCTGGCAAGTGAGGAGTGAGGACTGGCTGGGGTAAAAAGCCTGGCCAGCTTCCTTAGATAAATGTGATCAAGGGCCTAAGAGCATCCTTTGGGGGGCGGAGGGGGGAGAAGGTCATGGCTGGTAGCATGAGCTGGAGGCAGCCGCAGACTAAAATGTCCTGAACACACAAGATTTTAGGCACCTCCGTTTCAAGCCATTGGTTCCTTCACATGTTTTGATTCCCACCCATCTGCATGTTTGTGTCCTCTGTCCATTCCTGACAGCTTCCCTAGTGCCCAGCTTGCTCGCTGGCAGGGCAGAGCTACTACATTGGGGTGGTGGAAAGAAAATAAACTTTTTATCTGAAACTGGAACATCCATGGGGCTCCCTGGGTGCAGTGGGTTGTGGGGTCCCACTTGCCCACAGCTGCATTCTCTGCTTTGCCCCTCAGGTCTACATGTTCCTGGTGAAGTGGAATGACCTCTCTGAAAAGGTTGTCTACCGCCGGTTTACCGAGATATACGAGTTCCACGTGAGTCCTCCCAGGACATGCACCAGCCCCCAGTCCAGTGCACCAGGGCTCAGGGTGGGGAAAAGAGAAGGGTGGATTCCAGCTGAAATTGCTCCAAAGTAAACCTGACTCAAAAGAGGCTTTCAGGTCCCCGTCCTTCAGTTTCTTTCACTCCTTGAAGGTGGGAGCTCTGTGTCCCTAGGCAGGTTTCTCCCAGTGCCAAGGTGTGAGGTTTAGCCAGCACATGCTAGTGGCAGCAAGGCAAGCAGGGAAGGAGGCAAGCTGTGGGCAGGGGGTAGGTGCCACAGGGGGGATCCCCCAGTGCCATCCTCACCGCTGTGCCTGGCTCTGCTCTGCAGAAAGCACTGAAGGAGATGTTCCCCATTGAAGCCGGGGACATCAACGTAGAGAGCCGGATCATCCCACACTTGCCAGGTAAGCACCAGTGCTGAGAGGTGAAAGAGAAATTGCAGGTGGTTGGGAAATTCCCCAGTGGGTCAAGCTCTGGCAGCTCCTTCCTGGCCAGGTGTGTGGTGTGATCTCTGATCCTGCCCACTGGGCTCGAAACCAAAACTCCGGAAAGGTCGGAGCAGTTGCGGCAGTTCCTCCCACGTACTCAGCAGCCTCACAGACCCCATCCTTCCTCTCCAAAGGTTAGGCACCCTAGAGACATGTCCCACAGCATCAGCTGTGAGCCCTGGCTGGTGCAAAGGGCCTGGCTTCAGGAGGCTGAGCTGAGCCCTCTGGTGACACCATCACTGGGGTTCGTTAAATGTCCTTGTGGCAACACAGAGGCTTTGTGAGAGGCAGCAATGCAATGTCTTCAATGACAGGGAATGAACTCCTGATCCAAAGGGCTGATGCTTTGTCTGCAAGCAAAGTGCAGGACAGCAAACTTCCCCTTTTTATTTAACTTCCTGCTTTAAAGGAGGCCGGAAGGAGCCTGAGAAAGAGCTGCAGGTTGTGGTTGATGTCTCTCAAGGAGGAATAAGCATGCACTTCGCAGCAGTGTGTGTGCCATATCTGAGGGAGCCCCTTGTGTTTGGACTAACAGTGCCATGCCTGGTCCCTTCCCATGTGCTGCCCCAACATGCTGGGGCTGTTCAGAGTGCTTGTTCCCTTCTGAGAACTGAGAGCACCAGGGACCAGGCAGCTGCCATACTGCTGGTGGGGTGTGGGTGTGCACACAGGCACCCCCTGACATGGAGCTCAACACTTCTGGGGTTAGGGCTGCCAGCAGTGTTTTGGAGCTTTGGGGTCATGGCACCATGGCCAGTGGAGTGGGAGATGGGATTATCTCCTCTGGGCACAGGCTTTAGCCCCTCCTGGTGCCCCGGCACAGCTGCTGTGCTTGTGGCCTTGCAGCTGGGCTTAGTCTGAACATACCTGTGGGAGTTATCCTGAAGCTGAGGTCAAAGGGAGACTTTTCTGGACTTGCACAAGCTGTGCTCCCACAAAGCTCCACCTTAGGGGCACCGTACAGACACAGCATCCTGGGGCCAGACCCGCCGGTTCGCAGGGCAAAAGGAATGATTCAGAGCAGCCTGATTGGTGAAGTACTAAAAACAAGGCTCTCTGACTGCTTTTCCTGAGCCCTTTCTCCTCCTCTCTCCCAGCCCCAAAGTGGTTTGATGGGCAGCGCTCAACCCAGAACAGGCAGAGCACACTGGCTGAATACTGTTACACCCTGGTCAGCCTGCCCCACAAGATCTCCCGGTGCCTGCATGTGGTCAGCTTCTTCAAGGTCCGTCACGATGACATGAACCCTGTCACAGAGAGCCAGTGAGTTCAGCTGCCTGCCATTTGGGGAAAATCCTGTGCCCCTGGCCCTGCGTGCTGGCAGTAGCCCACAGGAAGGGCACCACTGCTGGTGCAGACGGGTGGTTGGCATTAAGCTGCCTTTGCTCTGACCCATCTAGGACCAAGAAGCCTGAGGTCTTCCTCCTGCCGAAGGATTCCAAGAAAAGCCTCACTGGTAAGAGGTCTCAGAGAAGTGAAGTGGCTGCCTTGGCAGCAGCCAAGCCCAGCAGGGAGAGGGGCTGTGATCACACGGCAGACACCCTCACCAAATGCACAGTCCCTGTGCCAGAGCTGCTGCTGAGAGAAAGCCAAAGCCTCAGGGGGAATGAGTCCCTGTTCTGAGATCCAGCTGGTTTGGGACCCGAAGAGGCTTGGGAGGGTGTTTTGGGCTGTCCTGGGGCTGCTTTTGGCCTGCCTGAAACGGTGTTTCTGTGCTGGGGGCTGGGAGAGAGAACATCTCTCACTTCTCCCATGCAGACATCACAGGCCCCATCGTCCTGCAAACTTACCGAGCCATCGCCGACTATGAGAAGAGCTCCACATCCGAGATGGCACTAAAAGCTGGGGACATGGTGGATGTTGTGGAGAAGAGTGAGAATGGTATGTTTCCATGCCTGCAGAGAGCCTCCAGGGGCCAGTGCCCTCCCTGCCACTGCTTCATCAGGGATCAGGATTGTCCTTACATCTTGTGACTTAGTTATGGCAGTGTATGGGCTGAAGGGTGTGTCAGGCTCTCCTGATGGAGAGGAGAGGTTCTGAGCAAATGCAACCAGTAGTCCCAATCCTCTCAGCATTTCTCAGCCTGCTGGGACAAATTTCACATTCAGATGGAGCCACAGGACAGTTGGGTTTGGCCATGGAGGGTGAGGGGCAATTCTGGAAAACTGCAGTGTTCTGACATGACTTAGCCTGTGAGGTTTCCTGCCCAGCAGGTACAGGATGAACCGGCCAAGCTCCCTGGTTGCCCCATGTCAACCGAGACCAGCCCAGCACTGTCCCTTCAGTCCAGGACACATGGTTGCCTGCACCTGCCCTGGCTGGGACAGACCTGGTGCCAGTGGCCCCACAATACCCTCTGCTCTTGCCTATGGCTGCTTTCCTTGCAGGCTGGTGGTTTTGCCAGTTGAAGAATAAACGGGGCTGGGTGCCTGCTGCCTATCTGGAGCCGATGGATGGTCCTGATGAGTCTGAAGAGCAGGAGCCCAACTATGCAGGTAAAATGTTGGGGGTGTGCACCAGAGCAGAGCCTGCTGCAGCTCCCCACTGGAATGGCTCACTGCAAGGCTGGGCAATTCACACTGAGCAGGACCACTTGACAGGGACCTGCTGCTGTGGAAACTGTCAGGAGGGATAAATCTCATGGTGTGGTGCCTCAGTGTCAATCTTGGGAGCTTCCCATGACCAGCAACTCAGACACATGTTTTGACTGATCTCAGATGTACATCTTCACGCAGTGGCTGCGCTGAGCTGGGTGAATGCTGAGGTGCTGAGTTATCAGAGGAGCACAGTGCAGCACCTGAATCAGGCACAGGCTTTCCGAGAGCTTGGCCTCTGTGCTGTCCTTATCAGCCCCCACATCACCCCCAGTGGGGCCACATCCCGTGGGGCAGAGGGAGGATTCTTCAGACTCGTGCTGACTGCTCGCCAGGCTTCAGGTTCATGGGCTTCACAACAGTGCAACAGGCTCTATTAGCACTACACTTCCTTCTGCCTCATTTCATCACCCAAATTCTGAGCACACTCTCCAGCAGAGATTCCACTGTTTGCACCCAACAGCCTTCTCCTGGAGAGATGCTGGAGGGGCTGGGATGAGCCACGGACACTGACAAGGCTGGGGGAAGTCAATCCAAACCTGAAGTACCGTGGGTCTTGCCTAAAATGTAGGGTAGATGCTCTGGTGCCTCCTCTCTTCAGTGGCTGAGGAAGCTGAGCTCCATTCCTGGGATGGCAGCACACAACTCACCATCCCTGTTTCATGTGCAGGTGAACCATATGTGGTCCAGAAAAGCTACACAGCTGTGGAAGAGGATGAGCTAACCTTGAAGGAGGGTGATACCATCGAAGTCATCCACAAGCTCCTTGATGGCTGGTGGGTCATCAGGTGAGAGATGCCGAGAAAGGTCAGATGAGGGAGATTCAGGCAGAGGGAAGGGATGCACCTGTGGTTCTCCATATCAGGACCATGGAAGCCAAGGGCTGTTTGGTGCCATTGCCCAGCACTTCCTTTTGCAGGGCTGCTTCTCAGAGTCTGTGCTTTCCTGAATGTTAAACATTGCAGCTGGAGATTCATCTGCTGGGGGGTTCAGAAATATCCAAGAAGGAGGCAGCTGGAAAAAAAATGTATCTGTTATTTTGCCTCTAATTGTTTGGGCACATTGTGATTTGCAAAACCTCAACTTTCATCCCAGCTGCAAGGAACATGAGAGATAACTGAGCACCAGGGTGGAGACAGGCATGAACCATGAATCATGGAATATCCTAAATTCAAAGTGTTTGAGGCCAGGTTGGATGAGGCTTGGAGCAACCTGGTCTAGTGGCAGGGAGCGGAATGAGATGATCTTTAATGTCCCTTCCAACCCAGACCAGTCTGGGATTCTGTGACCACCCGCAAGGATTATTCAAGTCTCTCTCCTGGACTGAGGAAGTGGTTGCAGAGCCATGACTGTAAGTGATGTTGCTTTGTGTGGCACTGCAGGAAGGATAAAACCACGGGTTATTACCCCTCCATGTACCTGCAGAAAACCGGGGAAGTGAACACTTCTGCAAAGAGTGAGCTGAGGAACTGGCGTGCTCCTCCACGAAGGTAGGAGAAGCCCTGGGCGAAGGGGAGAGGGAATAAAGCTCTTCCTTGAGGGAGTTAAATTAAACCAGACAGTGGATTGTGGTGTCCCCTGCTCACCTTGTCAATGAGGAACTGCCTGGGGATATATGAGCAAGGCGAAGAAGGACGAAGGCTGCAACAAAACTAGCTCTGTGCTCCCCAGCTCTCACAAGCACCTCACTCAGCCTTGCTGATGTTCCTGCTTTCCCCTGTCTACCTTTTTCCTATGGGGAAAGCATGATCCTCCAACAGGTCATCCAGCCAGTTGCATTTCTCCCTGTCCTTCTGCAAAGTTTCTTTTCTGGGCTAATCTCATTTAATTTTCAAACTGGCCTTTTTCTTATTTCCTATGTGCATGCACTGAATCCTTGAGAGGCAAGGAGAGATTTGACTAAACAAAGCTGTCAAATGGCCTAATCTGATGGAACGATTTGAGTTAATGGAAGGGATTTTATTTTGATTAAAAAGCAATAATAACTCACTCATTTCCATACAAAGAGAATGGCCAGGAAGAGCAGAGCTTGCCACCGCCTTTCCTTCCCTGCAAGAGAACATATCACCCCTGCTATAAAATCTCTCCAAATCCAGTTCTGCTGGAGCACAGACTGTGTGTGAGATGGTGTTAAATGGCCCATATACACCTATCTGAGTGCAGTGGTGCTTGCCTATACCCTTGGGGAGGTGAGGTGGCCTGTTCCAAGGACAGTGGCTCGTACCCCATGGTGACTGCTGCCCTTGCAGCACTGTCAGCCAGGCCAAGCCCTGTTGTGAAGGTGGTAACCTGCTGTTGTGGGCAAGAGCTTTGCTGTGACATAGGGTGCATGCTCAGACCAGAAAGGGGCTAAAGGCAGACAGGCACATTGCCTTGAGCAGAACAGGAGGACAAGGCCATGGGATGGACATCAGGAGCCACCTCACTCCTGCCCTGATAGTGAAGACAAAGCGTTGCACTCTGTCTGCCTGTGTGGGGACAGCCCCCTATGCTGGGGATTCCCTTGCAGCAGCCTCATGCTTCTCAGCCTTTCACTTCTCTCAGTAGTTTCTCTACTGTGGGCTCAACACTGCACATCCACGTGCACACTGACACATGCCCCACACTCCATTCCCCTGCATCTGATCCTTGGGTGTCAGGGAGTCATGCCAAAGCACACACCAGGGACCTCAGCCGGGATAGGTGCTGTATGTCTATTCTTCAATGAGCTATAGATCACTTCCAGGGCTTTCTTGGATAAACCTCAGGCTCATCTCATCTTTCCAGCCTTATGCCCAATCTTCCTCACCATCCCCATCATTACTTCCCAGACTTGTGCTCATGGTTCACCCTAAAGCATTTGCTTCCAAAGCACCATCTAGCTGCCTCCCAACATGTGGCACCTCATGTCCCACTGGTGGCTGCCCTCGAGGGTTGGCATCCGTTGGGCAAAACCCAAAAGCAGAAGCTGGGGTTTGGGTATTACAGAGGAGGAAGTGTGGCGGGGACAGCATGAGGTGTAAGAGCTGCCAGCATGAAACTGAGTTGTTTTTCTCACTCCCTGCAGATCCACCATCAGAAACGCAAAGAGCATCCACAAGCAGGGCCGGAAGCAGATCAGCCAGGAGACCTACAGGAGGAACAGCAAGAAGTACATCCAGAGACAGCGGAATATGCAGGGGAATTCCCTGAACAAGGCCAATGTCATCAGTAAGTCTCAACAGGACTGGAAAACCGTAGGCATGGCCTGTACCCCCAGTGCTGGCAGCTGGAGCAGGACCCCACAGGGAGGTCACATCATGCCTGTCTACCCTTTTCCTATGGGGAAACTATGTGCAGGGAGGTGTTTCTTTCTGTGAGATTTCTTACACCTGGCCATAGGTCAGAGAGAGTGGAATATGATCCTGGAGGGAGGTTAGCCCACATTTGGGACCTGTGCTTTCCTCTGCCCACCTAACCTCCCCATGCTGCTCTTACCATTACATTGCCATGTATATTAGCTGTCAGCAGAGCCCCCAGAGGGAAGTGTTGCATGAAGAATCCTAGAATGATTTGAGTTGGAAGAGACCTTAAAGCCCATCTCATTCTACCCTCTGCCATGGGCAGGGACATCTTCCACTAGCCCAGGTTGCTCCAAGGCCATCCTAGTGATGGAGCAGCCATATCTTCCATGGGCCAGTGTCTCAGCACCCTCACAGGGAAGAATTTTTCCTAATATCTGGTCTAACCCTGCCCTCCATCAGTGTGAAGTCATTCCTCCCTGTCCTGGCACTCCAGGCCCTTGTAAAAAAACCCTCTCCATGAAGGAGGCTGCCATTGAGGTGGACACTTTAAATCTGGCAGTCCCTGTGCAGGACCCATGACCTTCCCAGGGGAGAGCAGCTCCTTGTGCAGACCTAAAGCTGGGCTTCCCCTGAGCAGAGTTCCCAGCTGGGCACCGGTGGGATCTTTCCACCACCCTGTCCTACATGAAGTCCATTACATGCAGCAGTGACAGAAGAAGAGGCAGGAACTTTGGTGGCATTATGTAGGAAATTGTTGTATGTTCATGAGGGTGTTGGGTGTTGAAGAGCTCTGACCCATCTTTACATCTGCTTTTATCACAGTTGAGAAAAATGAGCCAGAAGAGAACAAGCCCAAGGCTCAACCTGCTGTT